GTGCTCTGTGGTATGTACTGCCAAGAGAAGAAAGAGAGAAGCCACAGACTGACAGAAAATGTTTGCAAAGGACATATCTGATAAAGAACTGTTATCCAAAATATACAAAGACTTTTAAAATTTAGCAATAAGAAAACAAACCCATTAAAACTGTGCCAAAACCTTCATGTGCATCTCACCCAAGAAGAAGTGCAGATGGCAAATAAGCCCATGAAAAGATGCTCTGTATCATAAGTCATGAGGAAAATGAAAGAATGAGATGCCACTACACAACTATTCCAGTGGCTAAAATCCAGAACATTGATGATATTCAACCCTGGAAAGAATGTCAAGCTACAGCAACACTCATTTTTTTTTTTATTACTGGCTGAAATGCAAAATGATATAGATACTCTGAAGGCAGCATGATGATTTCTTTCTTTTAAAACTAAACATATTCTTACCATCTGACCCACAAATCACATTCCTTGGAATACACAAAAGAATTTAAAAACATCTCTAACTTATATTTCCAGATAAAACTTGAAAGCAACCAAGATATCTTTTAGATATCTGTGTTATATTTGGACAATGAAATAGTATTCAGCACAAAAAGTAATGTACTTCAAGCCTTAAAACGCATGGAGGAATCACTAAGTGAAAGAAGTTAACATGAAAAGTTTTGACTCCGACTCTTTCCATTGTGGAAAGGGCAAAAATCATGGTGATTATTAAAAAATCAGTGATAGGCAAGGGTTAGGGAATGGAAAGATGAACATGGAGGATCTTTAGAATAGGGCAACTACTTTGCATACATAATGGTGTTTACATGTCATTATACATTTGTCCAATCCCATAGAATACATAACGTGTGTGAACCCTATGTGAAACATAGATTTAGATGAATATGAGTTATTGGTGGTTCATGATCTCCAAAAAATGTACCATTCTTACAGGAAATGTAGGTAATGGCTGGGGGGTTGGAAAGAGTGTATATGAGAAAGCTCTGAAATTTTACTCAGTTTTGCTGTAAACATAAAACTGCTATAAAAATAAAACTTATTAAGGCAATTTGTACACATGCATACACATACACACATGGAACTGGCATTGACCTATTGTCAATTTAACAGTAAACTGTTTAAGTCTACACTTCTGCTCCCCAGTTAAATTTTTAGCTATTTTTACCTAGAGATACCTTAATATTTAGTATAATAGAACTTTACCCATAAGGATTATGTAATCACAAATTGTATCTGAAAATATTTGTTCCTAAAATGACAAGTAGAATTTTAATTACTCAGAGCAAGCTATAAGCATAAACTAAGGTCAGTGAAATCATTGTACCCAATAATTTTATAAATCCATTGACCATTCCAAGCAATCCTTTATTAGCTGTCATTATTTACATGCATAGTGCACATCCCTTTAATTCTGATATTTTGTTCAACCCCTTTTCTCCAAAGTAATATCTACTGCTGGAGTCAAACTATCAACAATTCATCTCAAGTCCTCAATATAACCTTGGTCTTGAGAGTTGTACAGATGAACTACACAATAATCTATTATTTTTCCTGTGCCTGTAACTGCATTCCTCTAAGTGAGCTCTACAATAGACATCAATACATATTTGGGTTACATAGCACTATAAGTTATCATGTCTTCTCAGTAAGATGGACACTGCTCCATTTCTTTTAACAATGATAATTAACACTTACACAGCAATTTTCACTTGCTGTAACTGTGGTCATTCTGCTTATAGTATCTGATCTCCTCAAGCCCCACAAATAGCTATGCAGAATCTTCTGTGTTTGTGGCATCCTGCTAAACAACTAAAAGAACTATTATTCTCTGAGCTTGCAATCATCTCAACCCAGCAGGGAAAATTTCTCTGGCCATGAAGCCTAGTGCCCACATTACTTAAAATCACTGTTGATGCTCATACCTTCAGGCCTCTAATCCCTGTTATCATTGCCACATAAGAAGAATGCAAATTGCTTACCCTTCTCAATAGTTTTTACTCTATGGCATCAAACTGTGCCTATAATTTTCTGTAATTTGTGACCCATGACTGTTTTCTTCTCTTCTTCAACTTTTCTTGCTGAAATTGCTTATCTACATTCACCAACACCCCTTTACATTACTAGTCTCTTAATTCATTTCCTCTAATTGCAATTGAAACCTAAATTTTATCTGAAAAATTTATTTTTCTACCTTTAAAAATTATTCTTTGTCTGTTGCGGTGGCTCATGCCTGTAATCTTAGTGGCTTGGGAGGCTGTGACAGGAGGATTACGAGTTCAAAGCCAGCCTCAGCAATGATAAGGTGCTATGCAACTCATTGAGAGCCTATCTCTAAATTAAATACAAAATAGAAGTGGGGATGTGGCTCAGTGGCCAAGGGCCCCCGAGTTCAATTCCTGGTTTCCCCAAAATTATTTTTTGGTGCTGAAGATTTAATCCAGAGGTGCTTTACCACTGAGTGACACCCCCACTCCAGCCATTCTTCTTCTTATTTTGAGACAAGGTCTTGCTAATTGTTTAGAGCCTAAGGTGCTGAGGCTGGCCTCAAACTTGTAATCCTCCTGCCTCAGCCTTTTGAGTGGCTAGGATGACAGGCTCTTGTGAAAAAATCTTGTTAATTTAAAATTTATATCATTGATACTGTGGTGAAGATTACTAAAAATCCATTTTTTCTTTTCTCTTATAGTCACTAAGCATCCAATTCTCAGCTACTCTTGCAATAAGATGTGGATATATTATTAAGTTATAGATAATAGAATGCTAATTAAAAAAATGTGATGTGAGCCCTTTTAGACCAACTCTCTTATGGAATTGATGTGCGTCCACTATTTTCTTCACTTGTCTACTGGCTAGATACAGATGAGAAGTAACCTATTGATATTGAAACCCAACAATTAGAAGGAAACTTAGATCCTCGATTCAGTACTTGGAAGAAAGCTAATCATCTGCCAACCAGGAATACCTGCCGTGGACAGGGAAAAATAGTAGCAGTAAACAAATTGCTATTGTGATTGAACCATTAAAATCCCGTGGGCTCTCCCTTTTGAAGCATCTGGTATTGCCCTTGTCTGCATGTAACAAACTCTCTCATTGCCATCTTTTGACTCTGGTATAGTCCATCTCATTTACTGGAGACTGTGACACAGAAAAAGCAATTTTTCTCCCTATTTAACCCTAATGTCATCAATAGCAACTCTACTTGACAACCTATCACAAACCATCGCCCTCTCACATCCTTGACCTCTAGTTTCAAATTGTTTCCTCCTTAACCTCAACTTCATTATTCACCTTCAAAACATAGTTTGGAAACTGTCAATGCCTAAAACTCTTCTTTCTTCAAAATCAATCAAATTTCCACATTACTACAGTCTCCTACCCATGTCACCAATTTGTTCAAGTAGTTCTGTCATGGCTATTAATTGATTCCATCCTTTCTTCATCGCCTTCCACACCTACCTTACATTCCATGGTACTTCATATAAATACTATTCTGATTTTCATTACCTTTCTGAGTTTCAATCACATCTACCCAGTGAAAACCCAAACCTGCAGGAATTTAGCTGTCTGCCTTTCCTCTGGTGTAATATCTAGAAAAAAGAGCACTAATGAACAAGACACAGCATGGAAGACCATGTATAAATATGCAGTCACTAATCTCTAATTAACTTTCAATACATTCAGTACTATAATGACCAAACTGACATCTCCTCTCAAATATGTCAAAGGCATGCCAAAAAAACATTTCCACAACCCATATAGTATGCATTTACTACAAAAAAGTTCTTTCAGTACTATCTCAATAAGTAGCTTACCCCTTAGCTAAATATGCAAACAAAACTTGCAGACATTCTTGATCATCTCCTCCTTACAACTTCCAATGTTAATCCCTTTTCAATACTTGTTGATAGTACTTCCTAACAGTCTATAAATTTCACCTCATATTTCCTGTCATCACATTAGTTCAAAATAATATCAGATTGCCTGGAATAGTTCTTACAATACTTGCAATTTTATTTAAGAATTATTATCTGGTTATTATCTGTGTGCTTACTAGACTGTAAGCTCTGTTCATTTTCATTATTTTTATATGCAGCATTTTGCAGTTTTTTCTTTCCTTATAATGACTTGAAAGATATTTGCTGAATAAATGGTAAATGGCAAAATTAATAAAAGTAAATAAATATCATCATTATTATCACAATTATCATATACATATATGAAGAAAGTAATCATGTAAGAAAAAAAAAGCAGAGCATAAAAAACCTAGATCCAAATTTACATCTCTTCAATTTCAGTGACTCCAACTCCTGAGTATATTTTCATTCGTGAACTGTGATGCATATTGAACTTTATGGAAAGCTCTTCTTTTATTAATTATAGTAAAAACTCACATTTATCACTTTTAATATAATTATCTACATATTCAGAAAATAATGTGCCTTAAAAAGTGCACTGAAAATAGTCTAAAAAGAAATATTTTAGTTTTGTAAATGGAAATGTTTATGAGCTCACACTCCAAATTATGATTGATACCAAAATGTATCCAAAGTATATCATGCTAGAGGAAAAGGGATTAGAGCATAAAATAAGACAAACTGACATTTTAACGGTTGTTTTCTAACATTTATTAATTTTGCCAAGTTGTAGATACTGCACTAATAAATTTATATGTGCTGTAAAATAGAAACCATTATTATCCCAATTTTACAGATAAGAAAATGGAGAATTAGAAGAAACAATCAAAGCCAGGAGTCAAATCAAACTTGTATAGGATTCCAGAAGCACTTAACATTAAATTGTCTTCCAAACAAGTAGTTAAGTCTTTCATTTTGAGTCATTTCTTAGTGAAAAATGGACTAAAACTTTTTTTTATTTTAGTTCTAATAGCATTTGATAATGAGCCATTTTAATTATAATCAGATGGGAAAAGAAAATACTATGTACATTATAAAACTTAGCTTTTCCAGGATATTTAAGGAGCAAATTGTTTAGTCTTACCCATGAATTCAATCCCCAAGTGGTCTGCTACACCAAAGTCAGCATGGGAAGAAAGGAAACAGAAAAAGAGAAAAAGGTTAGAAAGAAATCCACATAAGAAAATCAGTGCTTACAAGACTGACCTTCCAAGACTAGGAATGTGTCTCAAGTTTAACCACGTTTTTTTCAGAAATGTAAATTCTAGATATTAATCAACATTTCCCAAAGCCACTGAACTACAGCTTGGAATTTCAGATGGAATAATTATGCATCAGTTATATAACATACTAAATATAAATTAAGTAAAAAAAAATGGAGAGAGAGAAACTATGTAAATAAAAAAATACCTCACACTAATGTTATTTGCTGAATCTATCATATTCTATGTAGATTAACTACTTGTTCAACATTAACAAATTTGGAACTCTGGGAAAATAAGAATGACATGACCCTACCCAAGTAATGACAAGACCTTACTAGGTGATCTGCACATCAACAAAACAGGAATGCTGGACTGAAAAATATAGCTCAGTTGGTAGAGCGCTTGCTGTGTATGCACAAAGCCTTGGGTTAAATCCCTAGCACCAAAAAAAAAAAAAAAAAAAAAAAAGAAAGAGAGTAATGCTATTAGACTTTTTATGATCATTTTTTAATTTGCCTCATGAGGAACCTATTATGGTTAAGACTAAAAATCTTACAAAGTTCACAAAGTTTCAGGCAGATCTTGAGCACAAATCCAGTGCTTCTGACCCTCAAGTCCCAGGACTACTCAACTTGACGGCCCCATTCTATTGAAAACAAATGGCAGATGTGTCTACTTCTATTCTCTGTGCTTGTGGAGAGTTTCAACAAACCAAAGTACACCTATGATGAGCAGGTTAATGAAGTGCACTGGGTAGCTACCAAAAGACATTCAGTTTTAAACCTTATTTATTTAAATGGTGCTTGCTTTCTTTTAATCTATTTTGTACTTATTTGCTTTTTATGTTTATCACATTACTTGTTTTCTATTGCAGTAATATTTATCTGAAATAAGTGGGAAAAAGTATTTATGTGACTATTTGCTCCTATGACAACTGAACATTTTATAAATTCTTTTCAGCAAATAAGCATTTCCATTTTTTAAAAAGTAGTTTCCTTTGAATATTTAAATACTTCTCCTGTTTATCACTAGTTCACTTTTAAATTTTTTTGTGCTGAAATATGTATGTACCATAAAATTTGCCATCTTCACCATTGTAAGCATATTATCCAGAGGTGTTAACTATATGCACAATGCTTCATGATCACCACCACTATTTTTCCAAGATTTTTCCATTGTCCCAATCAAAAGCTCTGTATCTCTTTTCCCTTGCCTACCACCCCTGGAAATCTCTACTCTACTTCCTGTCTCTGATGAGCTAATATGCCAATAAAAATCTAATTTTTAACTTATTAGAACCTATTTCCATTGAGAAATGTCTGCTTTTACAAAGAAAGATGGTGATTGTTTCTAAAAAGATAGATGCAGCCCTTTCTTGGCACAATGTTTTTCAACTGGTTGCTCTCTGCTGATGTGTACTATGATCGACATCTGGCACATTTTCATGAGCAGGCAGAATCTCATTCTCACTGAGTTCAGAAATCAGTTGAAGACCACAGAGAAAAACCTCTGGTCATTCTTTGCAATAAGTATTCTAATGGAAAAGCAGAAAATGTGCCTTGACTGGAGAGGTGAGGGACTCATAAGCTTGTTCCTTGGAGGGAGAGAAAGCAATACAAAACAATTGGTTTTGTGGAAATACTGACAAGAACATGTTGTGTTCTTGTACAAACTGGAAGCTTCGGGACTCTGTGCACATAAAACTTTGACGAAATGCTCAAGTTGTAGTATTTAAAAATAAGGATTTGGATGATATGACTTGTTATAAGACTAAAGATAAGGAAGAAAAGAAGACTGAATAAAAGGAAAATTTTATTCAGAAGCAAAAGAACAGGAAAGAAATTAAGAGAGGGCTATTTATAGGAATCAGGGAGCAAAATATCCCAAATACTTGACCACAGACGTTGGTCCATTCAACTGGGTAGTCAAAAAGTCACTAATCTCAGGCTGGTTGAATAAGAACTTTCCAGTGAATCAGAGATGGCTCAACTGACTGCCTATAGCCTGTTTTGCTGGCAAGTGAACTAATGACTATTTTTCATTCTTCCACGACCTGCACCGTGTCACCTCTGTGTATAACAGGACATGGAGAATTGAGATTTTGTGAATGTATAGATTATATTAAAAGTGAGTAGTATATTTGATAAATCAGAGGCCAATCTGAACAGCTTATAGGCACATTGAATTCATTATAGTAGCAAAGACATTAACTGGAATGGAAAATTACTCAAACACTGAAAGGTAAAAGTAGACATCTTGAGAAAAAAAGAGAACTCCTTGTTGTTTTTGTTGTTAGTGGCACTAAACCCAGGGGCAATGAACAACAGAGCCACTGTTGGGGAATTCTTTTTATTTTTTATTTTGAGAAAGTTGTTTAGCGTCTCCCTAAGTTAGTTACTGAGACTGGCTTTGAGCTGGTGATCCCCCTGCCTCAGCCTCACAAGCTGCTGGGATTTCAGGTGTGTGTCACTGCACCCAACCTGTCTTAATATAAAAATTACATGAGGTTATTGGAGCTGTAATGGCTTCAATAATATAAAAATTACATCTGATTAATAGAGCAAGGTGGCATTTATATTATTGGACATTAAAGGGAAATTATTTACTAAGTTCTATAATGGCTTATTCATGGAAGCTGACATCACTGAACATATAAATTCATATGCTAAACACTGTGCTACTATTACAGATTTGAAGACACTGATAGGTTATGGCTCACACAGAAGGATTATGAAAATCCATGAAGAACAGATGACAAAATAAATTAATTTGTTATGTGAATCATACACTGAACACAAACCACAATTTCACAGAACCCTTCACTTACTATTTTTCAAACCAAAAACCTGCCTGATGATATTCAGGCCAGCAGCACAACTTCAAGAGGAATGAAAGGAGAAGTAATCATTTATTTTTCTTTTATTCATTTACTAAACAAATTATATGCCAAGAACTGAATCAATACTAGGTTGGAAGAGAAGACACACAACTTAAGCAAAATCCATTTGATTTTCCATACAGCATGCATGGTTTCCACTTTTCAACACACCTTTGGGTTATCTAGCTGTGAATAACATTTACTAAGCACTTATTATGTACTAGGAACTGCTTTAAGTAGTATCTCACAGTAACTCATGAGATTGTCACTGCACACACTTTACAGGTGATGAACAGATGTACAGAGAGGTGAACCAACTTTTCCCAATCCAATATGCTTGTAATCAGTGGGAACACGATTGAGCCTAAGCAGCTTGACTCAACCGCCAATTATACTCAGAGTTCACATATGCCCTCCCTGTGAAAAATCATCTAGTGTTTAGAAAGTCATCAGGTAATTGGCTCTTCAGGGAGGAATAATTTAATCCACTTAAGAGAACAAGTTGTTCTCAAGGATCCTCAGGCACAGTTGAAGCACCACTTAGTTACTTGCTTGGTCCTAGTTCATTGATAAAGTGCCAAAGGAGTCAAACAGGCAAATAGTTACTATTCATTCTTTAGTTACCAAGAAAATTTCTTCATGAAAAAATAATAGCTGACCTATTTATTTGCACAAAAGCAAATGATTAAAAAGTTTTGTCTGAAAATATTCCAAACATTAATCCAAATAATCTTAAATTTGGCATTATATTTAAAAAAATACCAGCAGCTCTGCTTCAGATATGAAATATTCTTAAGGTTTAGGGACAAATATAACTCATAATAAATATTGTACAACACATAACAAAGTTAGACAAAATGAATATTCTATAATGTCAGAATTTCTGGAATGCTAGAAACTCAAGCCCCAAATTATTCCTTTTTATACTTTTTGATCAAAGTTATATATATTCACGTGTACTACATGATGTTTTAAAATAAGTAGCATTGTTAAATGGATAGTTTAAGCTAAGAAACATATGCTTACCCCATATATTAGCTTTTTTTGTGTAATGAGAATGCTTAAACTCTACTAATATGAATTGTCAAGTACAATCTGTTGTTATTAACCATGTCACCACATTGTACAACAGATCTTGACTGATTCTACATCTAGCTGAAATTTGAGGTTCTCACATATTTCTGAAGTGTGCAGCATTCAAAACCCATGAGCAATTTAAAACCTGTTCTTTGTCTGCTGATGGATAATGAGAGGCTACCTGAAATTCCCCTAGAGTAGGCAGACTGAGAAAAAGCAAGCAAAAACAATTCTGGACTCAATTCCAAACCCAGTGCGAGGCAGTGCAGGATCAAACAGCAGGAATGTGGCTTTCAGCACCAATTTTGTGTTAAAAGTAACTTAAGGCAACTCTGTCATAGAAGAGTCCCAAATGTGATCATGTAAGCCACTGTTCCAAGGGACGTGGAAAAACATGTTACACGAAAGTCTATAGATCTGTGTCTTAAAAGGTTAAAATACTGGCTTACTGTTCAAAGAGCTGCTCCAATGCAAGAAATCCCCCAAAGTCTTCTGCTGTGTGTGCTAGTGAGATTCCTGCTGGGAGTTCAGGAGGTAGCCTTTCCCAGCTTGAGGTAAATATTTGCATGCTCCTGTAGTACCCTGTGAGCCAGTGATCTGCTGTGCCGCTCTGGGAACTGCATGCCATAGAAGTGTGGAGCATATCACCCACTCCATTACAAAACATGTCAGTTATAAACGGTTTATCTTAGTAATGGAACTGAAATCTGCCACTCTGTAGATTCCACCCACAGATCCCTGTCAAATGAATTTTCTCTGGTGACACTTTGGGAAGAAGTCGTCCATCTTTAGAGAGAAGACTTTAGCTTTAATGCATAAAGATAGTATGTTGGGTACTGAATATGTGCTGATCTTTAACACCCGAGTTCCTCATTCTCTAGCAGTTTCTAGAATCACTGGAAAGATCTGTAATTGTCTCTGGCTGTAATAGTGGATCCATGTATCCTTCTC